TTGGGCAAAAAGAGCTCAGGGACAGCACCCAGGCCTCAAGTTCAAGTCCCATGATCAGAAAAGGAAAAAAAAAAAAAAAAAAGGAAGGCATTATAGCATTGTTATATTTAACTGTATTTAAAGCTATGAAGTAAATAACAGAACAGAAATAACAGCTTCCGTAATGACTTTTATGTTGCTTACAATATAATGAAGATTTAGTTTCTTGAAACAATGTCACTTCTGTGTAGTACACCTTATTCTCTTCAATTACATCTTTAAAAAAAAAATCTTTCAACTTTCTCCTTAACGTTCTTCTAAATTTAGTAACTTTTTCCTAATTCAACAGATCATAGAAAAGAAGTTGACGGGAAAAAATGCTTGGAATTTCAACCTGTTTTATATTCCATAAGACTATCAAGTAAGATTTGATTAGAAGTATTCATTTTCCAGTGATTTTCTGGAGCCCTATAATAATCAAGTAAAGAGTTTGAAACAACCATCTTACGCTGTGCTGCTTTCCAGTGGACAAGACCATATCACTGCCCTCCTTCAAATCCATCTGAAGAGTTGCTTCTTCCAGGAAGCCAATCATGAGCCTCCTAGGTAGGCCTTGACAATGAAAAAGACAAGGGTTGGAGTGCTCCTGAAACTACTGAACTAACCCTAACTACCTCCAATAAAGCAATTTTAAAACTGGACGTTCTATAAATGGATTAATAGATTAGTAGTAGTAGGAAACTATTCTATCAAACTATTTGTACTATCAGGACATGGTAAGGTAAGCCTGTAATCTAACTACTCATGAGGTTGAGGCCTAGGATAACCAAAATACTTGTGTTTCAAAGTACTCTGCAAATTTAATATACATAAGCATTTATAATTTAGTATCTCTCTCATCCACAAGTTTACCTAGGAAAAACTATACCAGCACAGTTCAAGTTGGAGCAGATAATAAATACCATGGTTGCAATAATACTAAATGAAAAAGGAAAGTATATTCAAATTCTCTTCACATACTAGGACCAGTCAAAGAAAAATAAAACTAGTAGGAAAGAAGAGAAAAGAGGAATGGAAGAGTAGTCTTTCCAGAGTCATTCTGTTTAATTTTTTGAGTAAGAAAAGACAAAATAACATCAACCTAATATATATGTAGTATTCATGAAATGTTTGCTGGCCACTATCTCTTTTCTCAATAAATGAGAATTAGGGAAATAACTTTTCTGGGAAAAAAGTAGATAGGCAGCAGAGCTATGTCCCCAGTCCTGGTAATTTAACTCCATAGGTTATACTTTTAACCTATATATTAATTTTAGATTTATGTGGGTTTGTGTTTTTAAGCCATACTTTGGTATTCAAATTGTTCCTCCTGGGATTCCATAAGAAAAAATATTTCTGAGCCTGTAAGGATCTTAAAAGAGCAGGGCACTTTAATAACACTAAATTATAATAATTAAAGGTTTAAATATCTAAACCACAGTAGTCATAAAGGTCAAAATAGAAATATCTTACAAATGTCTATCATTAAATACATATTAACTTAAAAATGAAGATAATACTACCAGTAATTTGACATTTAATTATTTAAATGAAGGCTACTTAGTTTTTTATTTATTTATTTATTTATTTTGCTTTTCACTGTTATTCCACATTTATGCCTGGACTGACTTGGACAACTATCTTCTTATTACACTTCCCGAGTAACTGGAGTGACAGTGCATGCCACCACAGTGAGCTTTATGTTTTGAGATGGGTTCTTGTAAACTTTTTGTTTGGGCTGGCTTGAACACTGATCTTCCTAATATCTGCCTCCCAAGTAATTGGTATTACAGTCTGAGTCACTAAGCGTGACTGAGCCACTTAGTTCTCAATACTGGTTGATCAAAGATTTCACTATCTCAATGTTACACTAAACATAACCCATTCTCATGAAAAGCATTGGTATGCTTTTCACACGTATATTTTATGTAGATATTTCAATAATTATGTTAAACTAAGATGATCACACAGCTTTTAAGATCACTGAATTAAGTTATGTTAAACTAAGATGATCACACAGTTTTTAAGATCACTGAATTAAGTTATGTTAAACTAAGATGATCACACAGTTTTTAAGATCACTGAATTAAGAAGTTACATTAAAATTCATTATCTAAATGTATTTTTGGAAGCTGATAAAATGCCTTTGATTTTAAAGAAGTTACAAGGAAGACTAGAGACACAGTATCTGACAAAAAAATTATATATTGATATTTTCATCTGTGGATGAATAAATTTCATGAATATTCATAAGAGAAAGAGGCTACTGTCAGTATTCTGAATTCCCATCTTGAGAAGTGACCTTTGAATCAACTAGAAATCACAAAAATTTTAAAAAAATGAAACTAAAGTCCTAGCTTTGTTATCTATGGACTTAGAACCTTCTCTGTCTTGTGTACACACACACACACACACACACACACACACACACACACACACACACACTCTCTCTCTCTCTCTCTCTCTCTCTCTCTCTCTCTCTCTTTAGGGTTATTATGGGGACTGAACTCAGGACCTCTTGCTCTCCCTGAGCTTTCTTGCTCATGGCTTATACTCTACCACTTGATCCATAATTCAAGTTTGGCCTTTTCTGGTTAAAGATAGGAATCTCTCAAACTTTTCTGCTCAGGTAGCCTCAGATCTTAGCCTCTTGAGTAGCTAAGATTATGGGTGTGAGCTATCGGCACTGGGCTAAGACTTTTGTTTGGTTCAGACATGAAATAATATTCACTGCTTAAAAAATTCATTGATGAAAATTTTATTTAAAAAATTTAAAAATCATTACTCGCATAAAATCACAGACGAATTACTCTCACAGATATGTCTCAATTCAATTGGAACAAAGAATAGGGTCAGTGACACCCAATGTACTATAATATAATGGCTTGGAATAGGAGTACAATCGAATGAAGTTGGTTTTTTTTAACATGTTAAATGTCATATAAGAATGCTAAACAAATGCAAAGTCTAGCTCAGCCCAGCTAGTTCAAAGATTTAACTTTAATACCCATTTCTGAGAAATTAGTCATTCATTCAGGGAAATTTTTACACAGAATTATCAAATGTATAAGAAACCAGAATGTAGCATTACATTAGAAGAAATCTGGTCCAAATGCGGGCTAGACTTCCAATGAATAATTAGCTTAAACACTAACTCTTGTCATCATCTGACAGATTTGTAATGCCTATCTTATTAAAATATTTCCTTCATCTTTATAAAAAAAAGCACCAAGACTGATTTTCTATTTTAGGATATTAAAATGAAGCAAAAAAAAAAAAGGACTAATAACAAGCTCTGGAACCAAATAGCTTTGGCAGTACAAGTATAAAATGTTGCATAAAAATTATACAATATGGTGATTAAAGGCAGGGTTTTTGGTACTAGTAAACAACCATTTACTAGAGATCTTTTAGTGACCAAAAACGACAGCCCAATAGCCATCCATCATATTAAAACACAATTTCCTATCTCATCTGTATCTCTAAAACCTCAGCACCCATTACTTTATCTGAAGAACTATCCAAATAATAATACATTTTAACTTGCTCTCAGATGATACTCTCTTCTCCTTTCAGAAAAACAAAGTATAAAGTTGCATTATCTTAATTCCAGAATCCTAGAAAAATAATTTTGAACATAGTAATAATTACATGAATAAGTACTACTCACTAAAAGATTAATATGAACTTATTAAATCAATACAGCATCTATTTGAACAGATAAGGCTATTTAGTGAAAGTTTCGATTTTAAACGAAATCAGAAACTGACTATGTACTGCTATCCAAGTTTCATAAGGGATGCCAACTCTTAACCTAGAAATTAGGATAAGTAAATTTTCTTTGGCCAAGAATGCTAGCAAAATAAGGATTAATCTAGGAGGTAGATGGATTAATGATAGTGTAGAAAATATCTACTTGGAACACTGCATGGTAAGAGTCATTCTTTTCTCAGATAGTTAAAAACATGTTCTCACCAATTCATAGTCTGCAAACACTGCATGGTAAGAGTCATTCTTTTCTCAGATAGTTAAAAACATGTTCTCACCAATTCATAGTCTGCAATTAATCTATATATTTGGAGGTTGCCTTCTGTGAACAAGGGATTCAATATTAAAACTTGCTTAGAGAATAAAAAAGTAAGATTTTAAACAATTCAGAAATTCACAAAATACTTCCCAAAGGAGTCAAAGTTCAAATATCAAGAATAGTCTAACACTGAGGGTGGGGAGGAAGGAAAGCTAAGAAATAAATACAGATTTTGACCAAAGTAGATTATATGCATACATGTATCAAAATGAAACCTTTTAGTACAATTAAGTTAAACCAATAATATGATGGTTAAAAATGAGTATTAGCAGTACTTGGGGTTCTTTTTAAACATAACATTTTATCTGTAAAAGGGAAACAAAATCAACAGGTCTAATCTTCCTATATAGTGACAGTGATACTAAAATACGTGTCTCTTCCATGACTCAGAATCAAAGACATAAATGTTTAATGTTGAAAGCGTTTATAAACCAAATCAGAAAGATAAGGAAAGCTTCATGAGAGAAACAAGGAGCAATGAGGTCTCACATTAAAAGATCTTGAAGGGAAAGTGATTAAAACATGAATTTTAAATCTTAATTTCTCATTACAGGAAAAGAGCTCAAAAAGATTCTAACCAAGAAAAGAGATATATCATGATTTCCCCCCCCTAGTTTAGCTAAGTTTCTTGCTTAGAATCAACAATTTTGAGTTAAATAGTAGTCTAGTCTATAGTACGATAAATAATCATTTTATCTAATTGAGGCACATGAGAATATTCTTTATATTACTGACGTACTAGTATCAGGCCAAATGTGTACGATTATTAATCATAAAATATAACCTCTCAATGCACATACAATACTTGTGTATTGACATGAATAACCCAGCTTCAGTCTTCTTCCATTAAATGTCTCCACAAAACAGGAATTTTACCTTATTTAGAAAGACCTACCTGAATAGCTGAATTCATGAAACATGTATTTCCCAAGTTACTTAGGCCACAAAGGCCTGGCTGTTCATTGTTTCTTCCAGGTTCTGAATAATCATAATTCTTATAAGCAGTATATGATGGGAGACAATAATTTGAGTTTTTCACACTGGAAGAGAAACGTGTTTATCAAAATGTGGCCAATTATACAATAGCATTGTTACAAAGAACAGAGTACTGTAAGCTTAGTTATAAGACAGGGGGTTTATGAAGTTTTTTAATAAAAAACTTAAGTTTTTTTAAAACATTATCCTTAAACAAAGTAACCCCTTTAATGAAGGTATTCTTTTACCACTCACAAAATTACTACCTCATACATCACACCAACCAATACAAACGTTATTATATCTTTCTACCCTTGAGTAACTGGAGCAGCATCACAACCTGCTGTTTTTTATTGTGGCATCAAACTTAAAGCATTCAGATTTTAAACACCACCGGCAGCGATAAATCATCTCATTTATGTCCCTTTTGCATCCTGCTACCGTAGAAACAGGCAGAGTTGGACTTTAGTTACAGGTGAGAGCAGAGAGCCACAAGGCCACTGTGACATCACTGGTCTAACGCACTGCAGATTCTATTTGTAGTTTCTATGCTAGACCAGCAATATCTGGTATTCACATGCAGAAAAAAGCCTGCGGGAGCCAAAAATACAAAAATGACCTAAAATAAGTATGTCTAGTACAACTTGCTTTTTGTTTCTTCTGGTTTACTAAAATGACATACTTATTTAGCTAGAAAACCTCAAGATAATTTTTACTGTCAGTGTAATGAATATTAACCTTAAAAAGCCATAATCTAAAATATAGAAAACTGGAATAACTTTAGAAGGAATTAAGAAATCAGTAAGTTATATGATCCTTTTTATATATAATAAAATAATTTTGGGGAAAAGGATAAGCTTTTCCTTAATTTTTAATAGCCTAACTTTTATAAAATACTCATGATAGATGCTTTGGATATAATTTAAAACAAAAACATGTTTTCATTCACTTAAAAGATTAGAAAAAACTTGAATGTAAATCAAGGGCATATGATAAAAGCAAATGGTAAAACAAATAAAATACAATTTTACAAATATAAACATGAAAATCAATAAATCCAATAATTTTAAGTGGCCATATTTTATTCCTAGAATTACTTAAAATACTTATTATAATTTCAAATTCTTCATGCTATCATTATACATTTTATACTCTCACTTCAGTATAACAGTTTAAATGAACTGTATTACTATACACACACCAAACTGCATAGGTAAAATCAAATCAACCCACAATTACATACAAAACTAGTCCTTTAACATTTTTTTTAACCTCGGTATAAATATTTCCTTTTCCTTACACAACAACCAAAAAGGGAAAACTCATCTCAAAAGACAAAACATGCGAGACACTGATGGCTCAGGCCTGTAATCCTTGCTAGTCAGGAGGCTGAACTCTGAGGATTGCACTTCAAAGCAAGCTCAGGCAGTAAAGTCTGAGAGACTCTTGATCTCCAGTAAATCACAGAAAAAACTGGGAGTGGCACTGTAGCTTAAGGGGTACAGCGTTTTGAACGAAAAGAGCTCAGGGACAGGACCCAGGCCCAGAGTTCAAGCCCCAGATCAACTCTCCTCCTCACAAAAGACAAAACAACAACAAAAATAAAAAATATCTGTATTGGGAAGCAAAAAAGGCAGTCTTGATCAATTCAAATTCAAAGCTGCTAGACTTGTAGCTACTTGTTTTAAACTTAAAAGTTAAACGCAGAGCTGGGAAGTTGGCTCAGAGGTAGAGTGCTTGCCTCACATGCATGAAGCCCTGGGTTTGATTCCTCAGCACCACATAAACAGAAAAAAGACAGAAGTGGTGGTGTGGCTGAGGGACAACGCCCAGCCCCAGTTCAGCCCCCACGACAAAAAAAAAAAAAAAAAAGTTAAAAGCAGTAAAAACAGTACTAAAGGATTTTTTTCTTTGCAGAATACTAATCTTGCTAGTCATATCTCACTTTACAGTTCCAGTAATGAATCAAGTACAAAGCACTTAGTATGTTCATCTATGATTAGATTATGAAATCTAACTTTGAGTATATGAGAAAAAAGGCTAAAACATGAAAAAAGGTATTTTTTTTTAACTATTAGGTAATGCTAAAAATGAGATCTAAACATTAAAAAAAAAATAAAGTTTGTGTTACTTCACGTCTCGGAGAAGAAAAAAGTATATATTCTGGCTGTAAAATTAGAATAAAATTTAAGTAACCAGATATAAAGGATGCCCTATTACTTGCTGGTGCCTAGAGACACACACACATACACACACACGCACGCACGCACGCACGCACGCACGCATGCACACAACACACACACGAAGACTAAAAGCACATTTACATGGTCATTCCAAACATAGAGATATTTACTTGTATGTCTTTGTTCACAGGTAACAAATAGATGCTGGAAGCTTTGGGCCAGGCCACCTTGGATATTCAGTCCTCCTACCTTTGCCTCCCATGTAGTTGGATTATAGTTTTGAACCACCATACCTGGCCTCCAAATACTTATTATTCTAGTGAGAAGTAATTTATAATCCAAATTATAAGTACTTCATATCATATGTTAAAATCATGGGAAATGTTAACTCAAAGCTCTAAACCAAAGTAAGCCTTAAAAAAAAAAAGCTCTTACTATCTTTCATGACTGCTAAATTTTCCCTAAAGATCTTAAGCTATATTTCAGCTTTTAAGATGCTTATGCCACTCTGTGAAGTGAATTACTAATAGTAATTTTAATACAACACTAGATCAATTCTGTATTAGAAATACCTTCTCTTGAAAAAAGTTATATTAAAAAATGCAAGGTTATTTTAAAATAGCACATTTTACCTGTTCACAAAAATCTCAAATATACTTTTCAGTATTGATATGTGGCATTAAAATATAATTTAATCATCATGGCTATCATCATGTTCATTTTGTAGTTAAATGTTTTCAGCTAAGTAACTTATGAAGAGCCAGATGGCTAGCTCTGGTAGTCGTAGAATCCACAGTTCCTGCTTAATTCCATAGTGAGAATCATTTCCATTTCAAGCAAAAGAGATTTAAATAAAATGTGCTCTGATGTGGACTGCCAAAGTCCAGGAAATAAGTAAATTAAAAGTATTTTCTTTTTTTAGTGGCAGTGTTCCTATTGTAGCTGGGCAGAAAAATACTGTTAATAAAACTGACCCATACAATGAATTTTACAGATATTAAAAACATACATAAATAACTGAAATCACCAATTATTCCATAGACTACACAGGGAAACCAAACTATAGCAACAGATTTTTTACAAAACTAGTTTTTAGTAAAATCTTTATTAAACTTAAATGAAATAATTTTAAGTATGCTCTGTTACTTTAAAACAATACTGTTATTTCTGGAAAGAAAACTTTAAATCTTAGTAAATGGGTCATAGCAGAATGGTTCAAGCCTTGGATTTGTAAATATGTTTCATATGAGCTTGTATTAAAACTATTGATTTTAATATATACTTTATATTTGTAGAATATTTCCACATGCCTGAAGTTTCAAAAATACACTTAGTCTTAGGGCTGAGGAGTGGCTCTAGAAGTAGAATGCCTGCCAAGCAAACTTGAATGCCTGAGTCGAATCCCCAGTACCACAATTTTAAAGAAGCCCCTTTTTAATCTAATACTTATATATTTTAAATAAAGCTATGCTATTTCTACTTGAAGTCTTAAGCCATTACTTATTTCCAATAAGTACAATGAAAGGTCAAGAAACAAGTTTTATATAAAATACTTATTTAAATATATTCATACAAATTTTTAAGGTAAAATGAAAAAAATTCCTTCCACTCTCTGAATAATGAAAGTCTGCTCTTACTAAGAAAAGTAATTCATACATAAAAATTTTAAGCTCCAAAAGATTATAGCATAGTAACCCAACAGTTACCTATTAAAATTCCTTAATACAAAAGGATTTTCATATGTAAATTAGACAGATACATAATAAAGATATAGAAGTTGAATAATTAAAATCTGCTATAAAACATAGTAACAAAAAAAACCCTGCAATTCCTTTCAGTAGTTTCTTTGGTAAGAAGTTTGGAGATTAGATTGCACTATCAAATTTTTTATTATGGGAAAGAAAATAAGACAAAAAAAACACCAGACCAATTATACTAATGTAGTGACTTGTCAAAGTACAGTCTATATTTAATATTGCTTATATACAATGCTTACAAGCTCTCCAAAAAATGATTTATAAATACATATTATACCTATAAATGAAGTTAATGGTAAATGTGAGAGCCAGCTGCAGTTGACAGGAACACAGTAATGTTTTGTAAACTACAAAAATTATTATTATTATTACTGTGCTGGTCCTGGGATTTGAATTTGGGTCTGGATGCTGTCCCTGAGCTGCTTTTGCTTGAGGCTAGCACTCTACCTCTTGATCTGTTGCTCCACTTCTGGCTTTTTAAAAAAATAATTTATTGAAGATAAGAGCCTCACCAACTTTCCTGCCCCGGCTGGCTTCGAATCATGATCTTCATATCTCAAATTCCTAAGTAGCTATGGTTACAGGTGCAGGAAACCAGTGTCCCCACAAAAATTATTTCTGATGAATTTAAAAGATAACATACAAAATACAACCTGAGTTACAGGATGATGTGCCTTTTCTATCTTTTTGCTTCTGAATATAGCATTTTAAAATAGAAAAGTACTGTGTATTTTTCATGATGTCTTCAATATTTTACTATTACATGATAGCAATGCAATGGTAATGTTAATAGAGTACACATTCTTTATGAATTGCTGAAGTAGAGGAGTGAATGTTTTAAATCTACTTTAGTACTAAGCAAACTTCTGAAATAATTGTACTAATAAATTCTTGTAACAATGGAAAATGATGTTTAATTTTTTTTCCCCAGTATGCTTGAGGTAGGGGAAAATGGGCAGTTTCTTATGGTTTTAATTTATAAAATTGTTATTAGTAGTGCATTTGAACACGTAAAATGTTAATCTTTATTTTTTATAACTTTTATATATCCTTTATTTTTATAACTTATTTTGCTATTGTTTTAGAAAGTTTCTTAATAACTTGATGTGCTTGATATTTATCCATTAAAAAATTGTAGTTAAGTACTGTTTTTCATTTATTTGCTATATATATGCACATATGTCTATATATATATGTGTGTGTATATGCCCTAATAATTATCTTGAATTGAAAGTTATAAACTAGTCACAGCAACCCAAGTTTTTAAATGATATTTTCCAGATAATCTTACCATTCTTCATTAATATAGAATATTTTCTTATCACATTAAATTCTTTCTTTGGGAGAGGGGGGAAGCTGGGCACTTGTTCCTGAGCTTTTGTTCTCAAGCCTAGTTCTCTACCACTTGAGCCACAGCTTTTTGGCGTTTTTAACTGGAGGTAAGAGTCTCATGGACTTTCCTGCCCAGGTTAGCTTTAAACCATGATCCTCAAATCTCATACTCCTAAGTAGATCTCATACTCCTGAGTAGCTAATATTAGGTGTGAGCCATGAGTGCCTGGCCACACTGAATTATTTTATACACAAATATCTGCTTCAGAGTTGTCTGATTCTACTGACTTGAAAGTGTAGCTTTAGACAACATTATGCTGCTTAAATCTTTATATCTTTATACTATGTTATATAAATTTATCAGAACTAGTCTTTTCTCATTTTTCTTCTAAAATTGTTAGCTATTGTTATTTGTAATTCAGATGCGTGTTTTACCAAGTATTTTGCCAAGTTTTAGGGAAATTAAAATTTTAATTACCAGTATTATTTAAACAGATTTCACAGTTTTTAGCTTTTTAAATTTACAAATTGGAATAATCAGATGCCATTTATGAACTGCAAAAAAAATAGTACAAAGAGTGAGCTACCTAAATTGTTAATCTAACATATAACAATGTAAATACCCAAGGGGAGGGTGGGGGGAAAAAAAAGGATGTTAATCATCTCTGAATCGAAGTTCTTCTCATAAGCTGGCTGGGTTCATTACATATAATAAGGCTTTGTATTTATCTTCTCTAGTAAAAGAAAAATCCAAAACGGGGAGGGTGGGGAAAAAAAAGGATGTTAATCATCTCTCAATCAAAGTTCTTCTCATAAGCTGGCTGGCTTCATTACACATAATAAGGCTTTGTATTTATCTTTTTGTTTGTTTGTTTTGGGGGGGTCTGGTCATGGGGCCTGAACTCTGGGCCTGGGTGCTGTCCCTCAGCTCTTCAGCTCAAGGCTAGCGCTGTACCACTTGAGCCACAGCGCCACTTCTGGCTTTTTTTTCTTTTTGCTTATGTGGTGCTGAGTAATTGAACTCAGGGCCTCATACATGCAAGGCAAGCACTCTTACCACTGAGCCACCTTCCCAGCCCTGTATTTATCTTTTCTAGTAAAAATAAAAATCCAAAATTTCAAGGTAATATACCCATAGAAGTTATAGTGAAGCCCAAGTTACCTCCAAACTTTTTTTTCTTACAATAACATACACATAATCCTAATGTTTAATTATTCTGGGGACAGGAAGTTTTTTTCCCAACCCTCAAAAAATTGTCTTTTTACAAACATAAAAATATGTATTGCTTTCAAGCTGAGAATCTCTAATACATGGGTAAACAACATACCTAGTTCCAAAATGACATCTGAGGTTTATATTTGTCCTACAAACTGGAATCCTAACAATTTCCTATATAGATATATTTCAATAGTGTTTAGAATAAAAATTCTGGAAGTACTTTATTTCCTCCAGAAACTTATTCGTTTTATATTAAATCAAGAGGTGTTATGTAAATTGTGCCTTCTTTCTTATGAAGTTAACTCATGAAAAACTAACCAGTAATTTAAAAGAAAACCAATTTTAATGCATTATGATTATTAACCTAAATTTTAGATACAAGATTTTTTCTCTTGCACACATAATAGGGCGACCAATTAAACAAAGTTTTTAAGATTCAGTGCTTACTTTCTGTTGTTGATGTTGTTATAATTATTTGATAGAGATGAAGGAGAGATCTTTGGTAAAGTTGAAAAATTGGATGCACCTGGGGACCTTTAAAAATATGAAAATGTTAAATTAGATAAAAAATGAAGAATTTTGAATTATGAAATAAAGAAAAGAACAGATGACAATGTTGTAGTAAATGAATGCTGGAAAACAGATTCATGAGAAAAATCACTATCCTTTGGTTTTTAAATTTCCACTGTATTTTTTCCTTTTAAAACAGTACAAAGGGAAGTAGTTTGAAATAATATTTTTCTAATTAAATACACAAGTTAGTGAATTAAATATACATTAAATATACAAATCAGAGAAATGAAAAGATTCTTTCTCAGTAAGATACACTGCCACATTTTAATTATATATAATATCCACATACAATTCAGAGAAATTAAGTTAACAATTCATAAAAATGTAGGTAATGGGGACAGAAGAGCAAAAAAGATTTCTGAGTATGATTTGAAGAAGTAATATTTGGTTGAAACTATCTCAGGAAAAACTGACTATATAAATCTGCAAATATAATATATGCCTCATTAATTCAGAATCTGTCTTTTAGAAAAAATCTCTATTACTGTTTTTTTCTTTTCTTCTTTTCTGTTGTAGGTCTGAACTCAGAGCCTGAGCAATGTCCTTGAGCCTCTTTGTGCTCAAGGCCAGCACTCTACCACTTAAGCCACAGCACTACTTCTGGTTTTGAGTGGTTATTTGGAGATAAGAGTCTCCACGAGGACTTTTCTGCTGGCTTTGAACCACGATCCTCAACTCAGCCTCTTGATTACCTAGGATAATAGCCACGAGCCACTGGCACCTGGCTACTATTGTTTTTGAAACAATCATTATACTTTAAAGGAAGAACTTATTTTTAGGTAACTTAGATTTAGCAATATATTATCAGCATTATATAATAGTACACAACACAGAACAAGTAGAGGCTAAAAAATTGCATAAGAAAAATTCAAAATTTTGAGGTTGTATATATTATAAAATATTGGTATTCTTTTTCCATTTTGAGCTGATAAAGGTACTTGGGTGAGACTTCTATTTAGGTGCCTTTCTGACTGAAGTACTCTTAACAAGCTATTGATTTACTATACTAAACTAAAATAGAAAACTATAATCATTCAAGGTTTAACAGAAAAGTATGTAGACTATTTTATGAATTGTTTTAACAATCTTAATATTTTTGGACAATGGTTTTCATATATGAGGAATATCATAGCATTTTGATTTGCACATTAGTTTTTTTTCTTTTGGTGCTAGTACTGGGGCTTGAATTCAGAATCTGAGCACTGTCCTTTAGCTGTTTCACTCCAGGTTGGCCTCTAGCATTTGAGCCACAGATCCACTTCTAGATTTTTGGTGGTCAATTGGAGATAAGAGTTTCATGGACTTTTCTTGCCTGGGATGGCTTCAAACAGCAATCCTTGGATCTCAGCCTCCTGAGTAATTAGGATAATAGGCCTAAGCCCCCAGCACCTTGCTATGAATTTATGAGTATTAAAATTTAAATGAATAGATATAATTATAACGAATTAAGGACTTTAACTTTCCAAATGTGATTGAATATAACTTCTCAGAACACATAAAGTAAAATTTCCACTCTAACTTATGTGTGTAATATAGTTATTTATTTATTCATTCTTTTTTCTGCCCAGCTGTGGGTTTTCAATAACAAATCTAACTAGGGACTGTATTAGAAAGGAAACACAACGATATATCAGCGAGTTAATTTGCATTTGATAATAATTAATGAAATTCATTCTAACACTCAAATATTCATTAAATGATTACTATACTCTTTGCTCACATTTAAGTACTAGTAATAGAAAAATACACAGTTCCTGATTCAAGTAGCTCACAATATCAAAAAGAAAAATGACACATAAAACAATGTATTATAACAAATTTTAATATAAAAACTGGTAATAGTAATGGGGTTGATTTAAAAATGATATATAGCTAGAGAAAACAGTGGGAACTGGGACAATTCTAAGTAAAAATAATAGCTTATGCAATTATCTGGAACTGTAGAAAGTCTGATGTGTTTAAATGGGAACTACCAGGAAGCCCATTTTGACAAAACGGTATTAGTATAGTGATAAGCACAGAAGTTAGTAAAGTAGGCATTGTAATAAAATGTCTTTATTTTTCCATGAAGGAATTCAGACTTTACACAAATGTGCTGGGACATTCTAAAAGACTTAATAGAATACCAACAAAATCAGACTTACATTCTGGTAAGTAACTTTCAAAGAGAAAAAGACAAGATCATGAGATCAGTTAGGTGATTATAAAGATAAAATCAGTGAGACTAAAAGCTAACTTTTAAAAGGGAAATGGCAAAAGCAACCTTTGTTTGACAGGAAGCAGTTCTCAAAGTATAGATATGAATCCTGGGAGTCTCTGGGACTATTTTATGGTGCCTGTGAGGTTAAAATTACTTTATAGTAACAAGAACATGTCATTTAAGTGTTATCTGAAAGCTTCTCTTATGTGTACAGACAGTGGAATTAGAATGGTAGATAAGACTTCTGGCACACTAGCTTGAATCATCTGAGTGGCAGTGCCACTGCATTCTTTATCACTCCAAAGGAAAAAAACATTTCACTTAAGAAGCTCATGTTGAAAATAAATATTATTTGTTTTTTGTATATTAAAATTTCACCCCTAATTACAATCATTTTAGTATATTGTCTGATAAATTGGGAAGTTTGCATAAAGCACATATGCTGCATACTGAAATAACATGGCATGAATTACTAGTGAAATTCATTCTTTTCACAGCCCTGCTTTTCACACTCTTCCACAAACAACTTCTTGTTGTTATTGACTATAGGTACCTAGTAGGCATTTTCTCAAAGAATCAATTAAAGAAGTGTACCAAGTCAAAGAAAACAGAGTATGTATTGCCAACGACAAAATGAGCTATCAAACAGTACAACTTTGACTCTCCCACCACGAAGTTGATACATTTTCCAAAGATTTTACTCATAAAACTGTGATAAAAGATTACATAATAAAATACATCAAAATCTGAAAGGTCTGTATAACTCACTGAATAGTTTTTAAATGACTGAAATGCATGGTTTCATGTGGAAGATTTTAATATAAAAATATAAACAGTTCACTGACATGGTTTCAGATGCCATAGTGCATTGAACTTTTAAACTTTAGACCACCTGTGCAGGCACTAGTGGCTCACACCTCTAATCTTCACTACTCAGGAAGCTGAGATCTAAGGAGCATGGTTCAAAGCCAGCTTGGCCATGGAAGTCAAGCTGTAGCTCAAGTGGTTGAGTACTGATCTTGAGCTCAGGACAGCATCCAGTGCCCCAGTACTGGGAGACGGACACAGATACACACACACACAAACACAAATTTATACCACTGTATGTCAAATTCTGATATAGTAGCTATTACCTGAAAATACTCATCCCTTTTGTCATTATATAAAGCTGAATTTCCTTCATGTAGTTCAAACAATTTATCACTGTAAGTCATAGGCAAAACTGTGAGAATTTGGATGTCTTCTATTTAGCCAGTATAATTTGCAAAAATGTAAAATAATACTGTGTAGTACAATTTTTTTAATATTTTGCTCTTAGGAAAATTATATGCATGTAAAATTGATAGTTATTTAAAATATCTAACACAAATTTCCAACATTAGTTTAGAAGATTCCTCTGTGATTTTGACTAAAATGAGTCAGGGTAAAAAAGGAGGTATTATATTCCAAAGAAAGAAAGAAAGACAGGAAACATCGGAAACCACACAAGTGCTAACAGGACAATAAAAAGCATGGAAAAATAGGAAGATATCACAGATAAAAGAAAGAAATAGTTCAGCCAAGATGCCCCATGAGGTAAAAAAAATCAAAAATCATAATTACTAGGTAAGTCAGACAAAACTGATGATAAAAGAATGGCTAACCAGTCCCTTTTTTCAATTCATAAGAGGACTCAGTGGCCAATCTGTCATATCAAGCTACAGGAGAGGCTGAGAAGGGGAGGACTGTAGTTCTAGGCCAGCCAAGGCAGAAATGCACATGAGATTCTATCACCATGAAGGAAAACTGAATGTGGTGGCATGTGTCTGTTCCCAGCAATGACAGGAAACATAAAGTAGGTGGGCTACAGCTCAGGCAGGAAGCTATATGAAAATAAAGACTCTATCCTAAAAACGACTAAGAAAAAACAAAGCTGGAGACATGGCTCAGGAGTACTTGGCCAGCCTAGCTAGTGTGAGCCCCTGAGTTCAAACCCCCCAGCACTGAAAGACAAAATAAAATAAAATAAAAATCTTAGAAAAATATCAAGCCAATTCTAAAATCAGTAAAACAAAATAAAGATCAGAGCTCAAATTAACAAGATAGAATGTAAAAGAAATTACAAAGGATCAATGAAGTAAAGAGATTGTGCTGGGCACTGGTGGCTCACACCTGTAATCCCAGCTACTCAGGAAGCTGAGATCTGAGGATCAAGGTTCAAAGCCAGCCAGAGCAGGAAAGGCCATGAGACTCTTATCTCCGATAAACCACTAGAAAACTGGAAGTGGAGCTGTGGTTCATGCAGTAGAGCACTGACCTTGAGCTAAAGAGCTGAGGGACAGTGCCCAGGCCCAGTTCCAAGTCCCAAGACCAAAAAAAAAAAAAAAAAAGAGGTTGCCTTGATGGGTGTTGGTGGCTCACGCCGTAATTCTAGTTACTCAGCTGAGATATGAGGATCCCCGTTCAAAGCCATCCTGGGCAGGAAAGTCCATGAGACTCTTATCTCCAATAAACCACCAGAAAACCAGAAATGGTGCTGTGGCTCAAGTAGTAGAGCGCTAGCCTTGGGCTGAAGATCTGAGGGACAGCGCCCAGGCCCAGAGTTCAAGCCCCACGACCAGAAAAAGAGAGAGAAGAGAGATAAGAGAGAGAGACAGAGACAGAGAGAGGCAGAGATTGCCCTCTTTGAGAGAATACACAAACCCTTAACCAAACTGACCAAATTAGAGATTCAAATTACAGATTTTAAAAAGTGACATTATAATAGGTACCAATGAAATTC